TTCGATTCCATTTTTATATGAAAATGTATTTTTAAATAGTATTTTGATACAGAATGTGTGGTTAAAAAATAAAGAAATGTTTGAATTTACTTGTAATATTATTTAAATTAAAAAATGTGTGGATTTGAAAATAAGAGGGAAAAAAATGTATTTTAATAATAGTGAGAACCAAATACAGGCTTATTATTTTAAAAGTTACAGGCAACTTAAAAATATTTCATTTTAAAGGTCGATCAAATTAAATATAGTAGTACAAAATGAAAATACGTAGTCCGATCATAACAATACCTAGAGGGGGATGAATAGGTGAATATGCGAAATTATAATTACTTTACAATTAAATAGCAATAAGTTACTATTAATTATTTTCTAAGTGATTAATCATGCAAATTATATTTTCCTATGTTGAATTACTGCAATTAAGAAAGCAATAAATAACACAGAATTGATCACGAAGAAACCCAATTGGAAAAAAACTCCGGGCACTTTGTCAGTCAATAATTCACTATAAACGATTTGTAACTTACAATCTACCAGCTAGACGACGACACATACTATCTGATCTCCTGACTGTAATCCCAAAAAACTTTATTGGATTCTGTGCTCCTACACCAACTCTCAGCTGTAGTTTCCAAAACTCTATTGGATTGCGCTCTCCTGCAGCAACTCCTAATTTTGTGAAACTCTGACAGATATGAAGGAAGCAGCATTTTGATATTTAGATTATGAATCTGATGTTTTCTCACCGCCAAGAACAAATCACTATGTAATTAACGAATGTTGAAGAGTAATTGATGAAAGAACATGAAAAGCTAAGTATATGCTTAATTACCAACCTTGGAAAAACGTTCTGTGGCGTTTGGATATTTATATGTAGGTTAAGGAATGAATAGACATGACAAAAAGCCTTTAAAAAACGAATTAAAAAATTTCTGGATAGCACTGTCGCTTGAGCGAAGGGTGAACGACAGTCGAGTGATAGGTTGTCCCTCGATCGAAGATGAGCGACGTAGTCTCTTTTTCTGTTGCTCGAGTCAAACCTTGGCGATAAGCTAGCGCTATTTCGACGCCTTTTTTCTTTCTTTTCTATTCTCGAACCCTAGACCTAATATAACACAACTTTCTACTAATTGCACATTACTCCTTGACTTTTACAACATATCAATTTAAGTCTCTTTTATTCACAAATGTGCCAATTACATTAAATACCTAACACAAACGTTTATATGTAATACATTAATTTCATATTTATTCAACTTGAGATATAATTCTTTAATATATACAATAATTTTGGAAAGTTAAGTTTTAACTCTTCAAACATTTTGTAAGCTTAAAAGTTAAGTTACTTATTTTTAGGTTTGCCAAACATGCTCCATTTTAGAAGTAATTCGTTTTTTAACAAAAAACAATTCTTACTCCAAAAAAATAAATAATATGCTTAATTTTTAATATTGAACAACGAATAAACTGATTTATTTTAAATATTAGTTATTTACGTATAAAAAAGATAATTCGTTAATAAGACTTGCACTACTGTTTTAAGATAAATAATAAAAAGAAAAAAAAGTATCCAAGTTTCAAACTTCATGCACATATTTTCCAAATAAAAAATTACTAGCTGTATTTAAATAATATAATTAGACAAGTGTGTTTTTATTTTTCTTCTCTAGTCGTGCAAGGATCCGTCTCTTAACTTTGACATTTTGGTCATGTTTGATCCACATTTAAAAAAAAAAAAAAATTGTATTATTTCAATACTCATTTTCTACCACACAATCTTCAATAAAATAATATTACACATAAATTCAAAACGTTTCCTCTTTTTTTAACCACATATTTTCCATCACATCACTATTTAAAATATATTCTTTCCTTAAGAATGTGCATCAAACATGGGGCTTAACATACTGTTGTGTTCCAAGTGTATTAAGTTGATGAATTATATTAACTCTTTATTGGTCTTTTACTTCTTTTAAGGATTGCATATTTATTTGAACTTCCCTTGCTACATAGGGTACTAATATCATACTTTAGTATTTCAAATTATTAAGATAACATATAGCCCCTATTTAACTAGGATTAAAATTTAAATTAAAGTCAATAATTAATTTTAATCACATATTTTATGGAAATCATAACTTTTCTGTCAGATATTTCATCAATTTTATCAAAATATACTAAAGATCTTATTTTAATTTCAACCAAATAGAGGCATAATGTGTTTTGGCTTAGCACATCGAATGAGATCATATAAAAAATTAATAATATATAATAGCAATAAAAAATAATAAATACAAATGGTGATTTGAGGTAGATAGTATAGTGTAACAACTAACTATTACGGGTGACGATCATCATTTATTGGCTATTGCATCCGGAATTTCCGTCAATGAAATTGGACAAAGTTTTCTAAATTGAAATTAAATCAAATAAAAGTATAATACATGATTATAATTTTATTAAATATAGTTACTCAATTAAACAAAATTGAAATACAGTTTACTCGATTGGCACTAAAGTAAAATATAATTACCGCAAATGGAATTAACGCAAAAAGTACATTAGTTAAATACCATACATTTAGCTCCTGATTGGTTTATTCAAAAATTAAACTTCCAATAGATTTTGATAAAATTCAATAAAATATGTAGTTGAAAAGTTATGAGTTCCAGAAAATATATGAAACCAAACATGAGCTTAATATATATTGCATCATTTATTTCATAATTGCTCGCACTATTTCTAGTAAAGTTACTAGTAATAATGAATTTATTAAAAACATTGACAAGCACATGTTTTATTTAACATCCCCAATAACTAGAAATCTTAGAGACAACCGACACTTTGACGAGGTGAAGCAAATCTATGTCTAAATGCTCGATATTCCAGCAATTGCTTCCATTTCCTCGACCAAAGTCTTAATAAAATTGTTTTGAATATCTTTATTAAGCAGAAACTCCTTCCATTTTTTCTGATTAGCTCTTATGGACTTTCCCGGTTCTTTATCAATGTTAAACACAATTGTTTCAACAGCACTCTTAATATCCTCTCTTCCAAAGAACCCATCTTCATCGCTTCTATTGACCTCCACTCCAGCATTAAGGTCTCCATGTACTAGCTTAGAATTCACGAATTGGTCGCTCTTTTGGGGCAACATAACTAGTTGGCAGTCATTCACGATAGCCTCAATCACTGAGCTGAATCCTGCATGACATAAATAACAACCCACACTTTTGTGTGCCAAAATCTGCTGCTGCTGGACCCACCCAGTGTGAATTATTCCTTTACCTTCCACTCTTTCCAAGAACCCTCGAGGAAGTGCCCTCTTTAGCTCAGCTGAGACATCAACATTTGCAGGAAAATTTAAGACCAGAAAAAATGGAAGACCTGTGAGTTCTAGCCCTAAAGCTAGCTCATTAATTTGATCATCAGTTAAGAATGTTTCACTCCCAAAAGAACAGTAAATGACAGAGTTAGCTTCAAATTTGTCTAACCATTTAGCCCATTTTTCCTCCAGGTGATCTGTTGGAGGCTCCGGGACTACTGGACCGACTAAAAGAACCGGTTTCTTGAACTGGGACTTGACATAGTTTATATAAGGTGCTTCCATTTCATTGCAAGTCTTGGCAAGTATGACCGAGCAGCCCTGCAGGCCCGAGAGGACACGGTCATACACACAAGGTTTGTCATGAAAACGCTTGAACACGTAGAGAGAATCCCGAGCCTCAAATGTTCTGAGTGAGGTTACAGAGGTTTGAGGGAACCCCGGGGGAGGTTTTTGCATTTCCTCAACTGTGGGAGATCTTCCAGGTTCAGGAAGCCTAGCCGGAACAGTAACAAATGCAGTTGCTAGAGCAATGAACACAGAGAAGAACGCTGTTTGTATACCCAATTCATAGGCTAACTTAGGGAGCCATTCTTGAGCAAAATCAAAAAGCACAAAATGGGGTTTGAGTTGAGATAACAATGTTTTTATCTGAGGTTGCATAAGATCAAGAGCAACCTTGAGGAGTTCAGATTGAGTTGGATTCAGTTCAGCCGTGCTCTCAACGCCCGGAGGAAGACCCTCAACGTGCGGGATAGTGAGAGGGATTATTTGGGTGGTGGAAGCGTCGTTGAGCATTGACCTTATACGATTAACATTGGCTGGTGCAGAGAAGAAAGAGATCTTGACGCCATGAGAGGAGAGCTTGTTAGATAGCTGCACAAATGGGCTGATGTGACCAAAGGCAAAAAATGGAAACATAACAACATGAAGACAACTACTAGGGGTTCTTTTCTCTGCCTCCATCTCAAAGCGATTCGAAGGTGCAACGGATTTGGTATCTGGGGCTTCTGTTTAAGAATTAAATCTTGTTTGTTTGTCTTGACATACAGGGTGGGACCCAGTGGGGTTGATGTGCAAGTGCAATATAGTGCATTAAAAAAATGGTAGCCCCCGTCCCCTCCCTTCCCATGTGAGTGTGTCCAACATAGCAGGATTCTTCTCTATTTAACAAGGGGCATTAAAAATAGAAAAATGATATGTGTACACCATTGTGTATACGTAGCATCTCTCTTAGAAATAGTATGGCTGTTGAAATGCCAACAGAACTTGGTGGGTGGCTTCTAACTTGTAAGGTGGTGGTTGTATCTTTTCAATTGTATTTATCATTAGAATAATACTATGTGTACACCTCGTGACGTACACACGACCTTACACCCTCCTCACATGGTTCCATGTGAGGGGGGTGTAAGGCCGTGTGTACACCATTGTGTACACATAGCATGGTTCTTATCATTATACTTTTCACAATATTTTTTATTAATCGCAATACTTTTTATAACATTAGCCACTGAACTTCGCGATAATTAACATTCAAATGTGCCATATTTGAATATTAACCGATGATGTAGTGACAGATAAGGTAACATTTTATAGGTTCAGTGATTAGTCATAGACATTTAAAATTTAATGATCAATGAAAAATATCATAGAAAGTTTATTAATCATTGATATTTGTCCTCTTAATTATAACATGAAATCTTTTCATACTCAAAAAAACCTACCCCTTGAACTATAAAAACTCATTTATTGGACGTATTCGACAGCTTAGCATCTGTAAAGCTTTTTGTAAAACAAGATCAAGATGTACAAGTAGATTAATGAGTAACAAACGTTAACAAAAATGAGAGAGAGAGAGAGAGAGGTGCCGTGGTGGTGGAATTATAGGGAAAGGAAGGGTTGCTTCTTCTTCTTCTTCTTCAACTTATGTTCTTTACTGTTTGGTTTCTCCAACATTAGTCTCGAAAGAATTTTTGAGTGACATCTATTCCTCTCCTTTTATTATTGTTTATTTTGGGTGTTAGTACTCCTTTCGTCCCACAAAGATAGACTTAATTTCATTTTTACGCAGACTAAGGAAATGTACTCTACTTCTACCGTCTCATAAAGACAAAGTGCTTGTCTTAACAAAAGCAACAACAAAAAAAAGAACTGGTCAAAGGTAGAGTGCACACTACACATTAAGAAGGCAAAGTTACAACCAAATGCTGAAAAAACATTATGCATCCGCTTGAATTTCATTTTCTTTTCCTAAAATTCTACTTTTCAAAGTCAAACTTTGTTTATTTTTTGCAGGTCGCACAAGTAGTACCAACTTATCAACCATTCTTAAAAAGTACAAGTTTATCAAAATAAAATTAAACCCAAAGAGCGGCAATACCCGGTAATAGATTTTGCGTTACATGAAGCAGCGCAGGTATATGATTCAAAGAACAAAAAAGCAACTTATTTTTAAGGCTAGAAGGCCTTCTTTGTGATACAAACAATGACCATAACACATGAGAAATAAATATAATGATGTAGATGATTCATCTACCGTTACAGTGGCACTCCTTGAACATATCAAAATTTTGAGCGATACCCACAATTCTTATTGGAGAAGTCTTCTTCGTGCCTCAGCGACACAGAGAGTTAAACAGACTATAAAAGACGTATTGGAAAGAAGGGATTCAATTGATGAAAGAGTTTTTTTCACCTTGAACTAAAAATTCAATCTCAAGCAGGGCATGAGCTGGGAATGATCTGCAAAAATTTCGCCCTAGCTGCAGGGTCAGTGGAAAATCGACCCAAGACTCCAATTGTAGCAGTATTGCTGCCAAATTTCTCGATCCCTCGAGCTATCATACACGTGTGATTAGCTTCCACAGCCACCATTACATCTTCACCTAAAATAGATGAAACTGTCTCCGCTATTTGCCTGGTCAGTCTTTCCTGTACTTGGAGCTTGAATCCATAAAAATGTACTATTGACTGTAAAAGAGATCTTCCAACAGGGTACACCCCATTGGAACAGTAAAAACCTATGTGCACTACACCGTGGAAGGGAAGTAAATGGTGTTCACATTGCGACCATAATGTCAAGTTCAGTTCTGAACAGATACTATCTTCAATATGGTCTACTCCATTGGAAATTAGAGAATCTCTTCTGTTTCGGACAAACCCATTTAGCTTCATATCCGGATTAGTATTTCTAAACTTCATCAACCACTTCACAAATCGATCAGGAGTTTCAATGAGCTCTTCCCTTAATGGATCTTCACCCAAAGAACAAAGAATTGAAGCTACTGCATTAAGCATTACCGGATTTGCTGGTTCCGTCTTGGGGAAAGAGTGAGCCGGGCACCAAGATTTTCCAATCGAGCCTCTACAATGGATATCCTCTACGTTTATGTCTCTGAATCTCAGAAGACTGAAAAAATCAGTCCAACTATCAGACTTCTCGTCTTTGAAAACTCCTGACCCTGACGCAACTAAAATCTTTACCCATCCTTCATGATTTGGGTCTAAGATGGCCGACTCAAAATTAGGCAAATGAATGTGAGAGCATTGGAGAACAACAGCAACAACGCCTGTAGCTCGGAAACCATGCTGCAAAGCTGTACACAACTCATAGGCCAAGCGCTGTGGATCTTGAAGCCGTTTTGCAATAGTGTCGGCTACTCGAGAGACCTTGCTTAGGCCTACAACCCGCTGGCCAGATGGGACATAACCCACATGACATTTAATCTGGAATGGAAACAGGTAAGACTCGCAATAGGAGAAGAGATCAAGATCTCGAACAATTACAAGCCCACCAACTCCACCGGCATGTCCAACTCCACTTTCTAACCCAGCTTCGGGGAATAAAGCGCCTGAGACAATGTCCTTCACCTTCTGTTTATAACCTTGGATATCGCATACAACATAAATCATATTAGCAAAAACGATAACTCTTGCTTGTACAATAATCCCATGTTAATAAATTTACAAACAGATACTTGCGAACAAATTACCTCCACATATCCACATCTTAATAAATCTTGCACCAAATTAATAGTATTTAATAATTTTCTTCATTTTTTTAAATTCTTAACGATTCATTTATCTCAAAATTATTTGTTTATTTATTTTATTACTACATATATTATTAAATAAATAATTACATTTAGTTAACAAAAATATTGAACTCATTAATAAATTTTAAAAAAGTAGCACAATTAATATAAATACAACAACTAAGAAAATATTAAATCATAACATTAAAAAAGAGTGTAATATGTTTCGAATAGCTATATCATGATATTACAAAGTCATAATAGTAATCACAATTAATTATTTTTTATTAAATGATTAAAATTTATTACAAATGCACATAATAATAATAATAATAAAAAATTAGAATTAAAGGACAAATATACCCTTACCAAAAATTGGTGCAAGGTGGAAGAGAGGGTAAAAAGGTATTTAACCATTTTGGTGTAAAATGGTGCAATGGGTTGGTGGAGATTTGCACCAAAAATTTGGTAAATTATGGTGCAACAAGGATGGGTTGGAGATGCTCGACAAGCAACAGATCCAACAAACAGGGAGACTTATATCCTAACTATCCTAAAAGAGGC